GGCATATATTCAAAGTTGGGACCAGATCTATAAAAGTGAAAAACGCCTATGTTTCTCAACAACGGATCATCATGTGGATATTTTAAATCTTTTCTTAAATTTACCCCAGTTAATCTGATATATAGATCTACCTATAAACCAAATTTCAGCTTTGGTACTCAGCTCCTTCATGGTTAGATACTATGTTGAAAACTACACAATAACATAATCGAAAATCACGAAAGTTTTTAAGAGTTGGGTCATTCTATGCCAACTCAACAAATGCATTACACCAGGGTCATAGATTTTTAAATTTTTTTTGGACACTGTCTCAGTGATGTAGATATCTATGTGAACTGAAAAACCTGAAATTTTGAGACTCGCCAATTCATTCGTTTCCCTGTAGCGGCAGTTTGAGTTTAAGGGGGCGTGGCCTCTCAACAAATGCATTACAACATTACAGGTGATAGATTTTTAATTTTTTGCACCCTCCGGCCTTGTGAATAGAAAAACCTGAAGTTTTGAGACTCAAATTCCCTTTTCTTTTTCACGTAGCGGCAATTCGACATGAAGGGGGTGTGCCTCAAATTAACTTTGATTTTCGTATGCTAATATCATCATACAACCCCTTTAACATTTTGTGGTGTAGGACCCCTTTTACTGCTGATTCCAAATCCTTAAAAACATGTTTTTCACACATCATCAACAATTATACCCTACTTTTATGTAAATATTTTGCTTTAATTTTCTAAATCTATGTTATAGACCCATAACATTTTCTATGAATTTCAAATTTATTTATCTAAAGTTATTTAATGTGCAACTTCAACCTGGGTAATAATAACCTCATCAAATTTGTATTGTGGGTGACAGCACATGGCAATTGGGACATCACATACATCATTTTTGTGGCCAATATGGTAAATTATTTTCTGGAAACTTTCTATTCTGTTTCATGAATATATTCATGTTCGATTTATGAATAGAAACTTCCTAGAATTCGTATTATATTCATATCTATTTTGGGCCATGCCCCCTTAACTTCAAACTGCCGCTACAGGAAAATGAACGAATTGGCGAGTCTCAAAATTTCATGTTTTCAGTTCACATAGATATCTACATCACTGAGTCAGTGTGGCAAAAAATAAAAAAAAATCTATGACCCATGGTGTAATGCATTTGTTTGTTTGGCATGGAATGACCCAACTCTTAAAAATGTTTGTGATTTCCTATTACGTTGAAATATGTGTAGTTTTCAACATAGTATCTAGCCATGAGCTAAGTATCAAAGCTAAAATTTGGTTTATATGTAGATCCAATGTATCTGATTAACTGGGGTAAATTTAAGAAAAGATTTTAACTTTCCACAAGACGATCCGTTGTTGAGAAACATTGGCGTTTTTCACTTTTATAGATCTGGTCCCAATTTTGAATATATGCCATTCAATTTCAACTGAGTTGATCAGCCTGCGCTTGCATGTGGCTAGAGACAACTACACATAGATAATATATCTGTAATATGAGGGGTATATACCCACTCATATAGACGCAGGGTGACCTCGAAAATCACAAAAAAATTTGCATCGTTAAACAAAGTGGCTACTTTGAGTGTAGATAAGGGAAAAGATAACTGTTAATCTAAGGCCATATTTGTAAAACATGGCAAAAAATAAGGTAGAATACCAAGTTTGACCCTGATAGCTATTACCAATCTCGAGTTATAAGCTTCCAAAGTTGAAGTAAATTGCGTTTGCACATCTTGAAGAACAACGCCCCATATTTTTGAGGAGTCAATATCTCGAAAACTACATATCCTATGAGGCTAATTTTTTTTTTGTTGGTTTAGCATACAGTGAATCATTTTTATGGAGTTTCATCAAAATCTGAGACGGACATACAGGAATTTCTTTTTTAATCTGGTTGGTTTGACATGGAATGACCCTACAATAGATCAAAGGTCAGAATGTATCGTTTCCGGTCACTATTTGAATATTTTTTTCATTAGGACGAATATAAACATGAATCTCCTGAACAATTTGCAATCAATTGTACCGAGATATGACATTACAAGGTCAAAGGTCAAACTTTCAAAAACTGCATTTCCCGCCATTTTTTGATTACAACAAATAGGAACATGCATATTGTGAACAATGTGAAACCAAAATCAAGTTTCTCTGACCAGTGGCTATCGAGATACAAGCGTCCAAATCAACAGGCGGCCATTTTGAAAAACACCCTCAAACGCGACTTTCCCCCAATATCTGGGAGGTATATAGGAGCTATATGTTATCTAAATTGGTCCATCTTGCCAAATCCATCGAGAAAAAAAGGTATCCTAAAATTAGTCACGGATCTCATGAAAATGACTCTACTACTGTCATGCTGCTGTGAGGACACTGTTTTTTTGAAGACTGAACTACTGCAATTCGCTTACAGTGTAATACACCCTGCAGAAACTTCAAAATTCTATTGCTAGAATTATTTTCTATTGTAAGTCAAGCACCTGTTCAGGAAAAAATTCAATTCAAACTTCTTGTCTTTGTTTTCACTTTCTGGCGTCTGTCCTTTTGTATATTCAAAAAACCTAATACTACGTGCCCATGTCCGCTTAACAAGATATTCCAACTCCATCCAACATAAAAATATTGGTGACAATTCATTCCCTTCAATTTCTGCCCAACTGTGGAATGGTCTGCCTAATTTTCTCAGATCTTGTGATTCGCCTAGGCAGTTCAAAGTTTATCTAAAAACACACCTTTTTCAATAGCTTCTTGCTTAGATCTTATTTTGACTTATTGTGGAGAGTCGCTTACAGCACTTCGTAACTGAAAAGAAAGGCGCTATACAAGTAACAAGTAACCAAAAAGTAAATTGTCCCACCCTAGCCAATGTCGCCGGCCGGTGCGGTTCCGACGGCCATGCTAGGTGTTTATTATCATGTAATCTTACCATAGGGACATTACATAATAGGGCTGTCTGCTTGCAAGCCTCTCAAAGCCTGGGTTTCATTTCACGAATTTCTTTTTGTCTTGGTCACCATTTTTTACGTTGTAACTATTTAACTGGTACCGGTTAAATGAATATAGGCCTAATTTGTGATTGAATTTCTATTACCAGGAATTACTTCAGCAGCACCGACAGCAGTTGCACCAAATTGCGAATGGTTTTGTTATGAAATACTTACAACACCAGTGACAACTGAGGGTATGTTCTTAACTGATTATAATTTTCAAATATAATTTTCAAAATATTTGAAAAATATGTTCATGCTTTGTCTGCAACAACAGTCTCAACCATCAGCAAAAGTGTCTGAGAAAAACGATATTAAGTTATAATATTTAGCTACAATTTCAAACAGAATTAAACTTAATTGTTAAATTCTAAAATTTATCTAATGTAAACAACATCATTCTAAACACATTCCATTAATATAGTACTCCAGTAGAATTACATTTGTGATTAATAACTCTTTAGGATCATGCAGTCACACGTTTCGACTCTTAATTATACCTCTATGGTAAATATGTGTTTTAATTCCAAATTTACAAGGGAAATTAAGGGCCATTTATTTGAGTTTATACATATTGGTTTTAACAAATAAACGCCTCCCTGGAATAAACACCCCCTCAAAACCCTTCTTAACAAGCCAGTTCGCGTGCTAAACTGAGGTTGCCTCTATTCAGCGTTCAACGCTTTGTGTATGGACTTTTCAGACGAGGATTTTTGTTGACACTATTAGGAGGAAATATCCTCCATGCTTAAATACAGTACACGGTGGCGTAGTTATTGTATTGGGTTTTCAGCAAGGTTCCTATAAAAATAAATTTAAAAGATATATAAAAATATAAAATTTCTTAAGATAAAAAAAAGTTAAAATTAAAAATTAAATACTAAGACGCGATAAGAACTCACGACCTTTGTCTACCTTATTCCCTTAGAACACTAACCGACTTCACCATCCATGCGACGTGTCCTTTTAGTAGAGATGGCAACAATCTACAGTTCTTGCTTTGTTTTGCAGGTGTCAAACTTTTAAAAGGGGCCATGAACGTTGTTGGAAATAACATCTAGTGCTGGATGCATTTAAAGTTCTGGTAACAACCAGAACAAGAACAACAACAACAAGAACAGCATTGAGGTTCTGGGGTCCGTCTTATGCCTACACAACAGTAAACGCCCTGGGTGTTTATTCGAATAATTACTGTATTCAAAATGTGTTTATTCAAGTTCAGCAACTACAGCTGAGCCATTAATAACAGTAAAGACAACTGATATTAAGTTGTGAAATTTCATTAACTTTAATGCCCAACGAAGTTAAAAATGTGATAAATAATAAGTACATTTGAAATATTAATTACATTTCTCTAATGTATGCACAACCTACAACAGTGCTACCATCGACCAAATTAAGGCAACTGAGAGTATTTTTTTTAACTGCTATTATGTATGTATTTAAAAAATGTGTGTAATCAGAATCTACAACTACAGCTCAGCCATACAGCTCAGCCATTAATAACAGTGAAGACAACTGATATTAAGGGGTAACATTTTAATAACTTTAATGCCCAATGAAGTTAAAACTTGTTAAATGTTATAGTTAAAAAGTATTAATAATATTTTTATATGTATACAGCACCTACAACATTGCCGTCAACCACATCAGTGACAACTGAGGGTATGTTTTTTACTGATTATGCTTTTTAAATTTGTTCATTCGGAGTTGAAACGACAGTCTCAACTATCACTAGTAGTAGAGACAAATGAAATTAGGTTATAATATTTAAACACTTTAATTTCCAACAAATTTAAACTTAATTGTTAAGTGTTTTTAATTGATTAGCAACTCTTAAATATTATTCAAT